TGACTATTTGCTTTGTGAAGAAGAACTTTCTGTTGTTAGTTTGAAGCCTGCTACCCATTCATTTCATTTGGTGTCCTCTAGTCCTTCTATTATGGGAACTAACGAAGAACTTTTCTTTATGCACCCTCTCCACGCCACTCATGCTTTTCATAGAATCATAGAATAATAGGACTGGAAGGGACCTCAAGAGGTCATCGAGTCCAGCCCCCCGCCCTCAAGGCAGGATCAAGCTCTGTCTACACCATCCCTGACAGATGTCTATCTAACCTGTTCTTAAATATCTCCAGAGAGGGAGATTCCACCACCTCCCTTGGCAATTTATTCCAATATTTGACCACCCTGACAGTTAGGAATTTTTTCCTAATGTCCAATCTAAACCTCCCCTGCTGCACTTTAAGCCCATTACTCCTTGTCCTGTCCTCAGAAACCAAGAGGAACAAATTTTCTCCTTCCTCCTTGTGACACCCTTTTAGATATTTGAAAACCGCTATCATGTCCCCCCTTAATCTTCTTTTTTCCAAACTAAACAAGCCCAGTTCATGAAGCCTGGCTTCATAGGTCATGTTCTCTAAACCTTTAATCATTCTTGTTGCTCTTCTCTGTACCCTTTCCAATTTCTCCACATCTTTCTTGAAATGTGGCGCCCAGAACTGGACACAGTACTCCAGCTGAGGCCTAACTAGTGCAGAGTAGAGCGGCAGAATGACTTCACGAGTTTTGCTTACAACACACCTGTTGATACAACCTAGAATCATATTTGCTTTTTTTGCAACAGCATCACACTGTTGACTCATATTCAACTTGTGGTCCACTATGACCCCTAGATCCCTTTCTGCCATGCTCCTTCCTAGACAGTCGCTTCCCATCTTGTATGTATGGAACTGATTGTTCCTTCCTAAGTGGAGCACTTTGCATTTCTCTTTATTAAACCTCATCCTGTTTACCTCTGACCATTTCTCTAACTTGCTAAGGTCATTTTGAATTATGTCCCTATCCTCCAAAGAAGTTGCAACCCCACCCAGTTTGGTATCATCTGCAAACTTAATAAGCGTACTCTCTATCCCAATATCTACATCATTGATGAAGATGTTGAACAGTATGGGTCCCAAAACAGACCCTTGAGGAACTCCACTTGTTATCCCTTTCCAGCAGGATTTAGAACCGTTAACAACAACTCTCTGACTACGGTTATCCAGCCAATTATGCACCCACCTTATCGTGGCCCTATCTAAGTTATATTTGCCTAGTTTATCAATAAGAATATCATGCGAGACCGTATCAAATGCCTTACTAAAGTCTAGGTATATGACATCCACCGCTTCTCCCTTATCCACAAGGCTCGTTATCTTATCAAAGAAAGCTATCAGATTAGTTTGGCATGACTTGTTCTTCACAAACCCATGCTGGCTATTCCCTATCACTTTATTACCTTCCAAGTGTTTGCATATGATTTCCTTAATTACCTGCTCCATTATCTTCCCTGGGACAGACGTTAAACTGACCGGTCTGTAGTTTCCTGGGTTGTTCTTATTCCCCTTTTTATAGATGGGCACAATATTTGCCCTTTTCCAGTCTTCTGGAATCTCCCCTGTCTGCCATGATTTTTCAAAGATCATAGCTAAAGGCTCAGATACCTCCTCTATCAGCTCCTTGAGTATCCTGGGATGCATTTCATCAGGACCTGGTGACTTGCTGACATCTAACTTTCCTAAGTGATTTTTAACTTGTTCTTTGTGTATCCTATCTTCTAAACTTACCCTCTCTCTGCTTGTATTCACTACGTTAGGCACACCTCCAGACTTCTCGGTGAAGACCGAAACAAAGAAGTCATTGAGCATCTCCGCCATTTCCAAGTTCCCTGTTACTGCTTCTCCCTCCTCGCTAAGCAGTGGGCCTACCCTGTCCTTGGTCTTCCTCTTGCTTTTAATGTATTTATAAAAGGTCTTCTTGTTTCCCTTTATGCCTGTAGCTAGTTTGATCTCATTTTGTGCCTTTGCCTTTCTAATCTTGCCCCTGCATTCCCGTGTTGCTTGCCTATATTCATCCTTTGTTAGTTGTCCTAGTTTCCATTTTTTATATGACTCCTTTTTTATTTTGAGATCATGCAAGATCTCCTTGTTAAGCCAAGCTGGTCTTTTGCCATATTTTCTATCTTTCCTACACAGCGGAATTGTTTGCTTTTGGGCCCTTAACAACGTCCCTTTGAAATACTTCCAACTCTCCTCAGTTGTTTTTCCCTTCAGTCTTGCTTCCCATGGGACCTTACCTACAAGTTCTCTGAGCTTATCAAAATCTGCCTTCCTGAAATCCATTACCTCAATTGTGCTGGTCTCCCTTCTACCTTTCCTTAAGATCATGAACTCTATTATTTCGTGATCACTGTCCCCTATACTGTCTTCCACTTTCAAGTTCTCAACTAGTTCCTCCCTATTTGTTAAAACCAAATCCAGAACAGCTTCTCCTCTGGTAGCTTTTTCAACCTTCTGAAACAGAAAGTTGTCTCCAATGCAGTCCAGAAACTTATTGGATAGCCTGTGCCTCGCTGTGTTAGTTTCCCAACATATGTCTGGATAGTTGAAGTCCCCCATCACCACCAAATCTTGGGCTTTGGATAGTTTTGTTAATTGTTTAAAAAAGGCCTCATCCACCTCTTCCACCTGGCTAGGTGGCCTGTAGTAGACTCCTAGCATGATATCACCCTCGTTTTTTACCCCTTTTAGCTTAACCCAGAGACTCTCTACACAGCTATCTCCTACGTTCATCTCCACTTCAGTCCAAGTGTGTACATTTTTAATATACAAGGCAACCCCTCCTCCCTTTTTTCCTTGTCTGTCCTTCCTGAGCAAGCCGTACCCTTCCATACCAACATTCCAATCATGTGTCCCATCCCACCAGGTTTCTGTAATACCAATGATATCATAGTTGTATTTATTGGTTAGCAATTCCAGTTCTTCCTGCTTATTACCCATACTTCTCGCATTTGTATATAGGCATCTAAGATACTGATTTGATCTTGCCTCCCTGTTGTGCCCTGACCCTCCTTTCTCCTTGCCATTATAGGCCGTAGTCCCCCCCATTTCCAACCCATCTCCCAGTCCCGCACATTCAGCACTTACCTGTGGGCTTTGCTCACCTGCCCCCGACAAACCTAGTTTAAAGCCCTCCTCACAAGGTTAGCCAGTCTGTGTCCAAACAAGGCCTTCCCGCTCCTGGAAAGGTGAACTCCATCTCCGCCAAGCAGTCCTTCCTGGAAGAGCACCCCGTGATCAAGGAAGCCGAATCCCTCCTGGCGACACCATCGTCGCAGCCAGGCATTCACCTCCAGGATGCACCTCTCTCTGCCCGGGCCCCTACCTTTGACAGGAAGGATAGAAGAGAATACCACCTGCGCTCCAAACTCCTTCACCCGTACTCCCAAAGCCCTGTAGTCACACTTGATCCGCTCAGTGTCACACCTGGCAGTATCATTTGTGCCCACGTGGATGAGTAGCATGGGGTAGTAGTCAGAGGGCCGGATAATCCTCGACAATGCCTCCGTAACATCTCGGATATGGGCCCCTGGCAGACAGCATACCTCTCGAGATGAGCTGTCAGGGCGACAGATGGGTGCCTCCGTTCCCCTCAGAAGAGAGTCTCCAACCCATCTTGCCCCCAGAGTGTTACCTCCAGAGGTGTGGCCAATGGGGGTAAGGGGTATGGTTAACAGGGGTCAGGGGTCTGGCTAACGGGGGTCAAAATACATTTTTAAAAAATTCTTTGGGTGCACACCCTAATGAAATGTGCTGCATACGCCTATGTGTGTTGGTCTGTAACTGAAAAAACTTTAAAAACAACGAATGGTCCCACAGCCCCTTAAAGTCTAACAAAAATGTATATGGTGGTATGAGCTTTCATGGACACAACCCACTTCTTCAGATGAAATAAACATATTTTATATATAGTATTTTGAGTAAAGGCTTCTAGTAATACTGTATTTACTATTTCATAGGCTCATCTCATCTCATATGTTATCTCTTAAAATACTTAAGCCATATGTATTTCTATTACTACTTATTTCTATAGGTTGTGTTTTCTTCTAATGAAGATTTGGAAGTTGGAGACCAACAAACTAGCCTTATCTCAACAACAGAAGAAGTAATTCTAGAGGAGGACATGGCTGTGGAAGATAACAGCAGTGAACAACAATTTGGAGTTTTTAAAGATTTTGACTTTTTAGATGTTGAGTTGGAAGATGCAGAGGTGAGATCCTGGAATTTTTGCTCTATAGTTGTTATTTTAGAATGTCTTAAAAGCTGAGTTAAGCTGGTATAATACTAAGGAATGGTTAGCAGTTCCATAACTTGATTCATTTTTATTTCCATCAAAACAAAACCATGACTACAAATTTTGCAATGTCAAATGCAGGTACCAGTTTTCTTTTTGAAAGTGGGTTTAACTACCCACTTATTCTGAAATATGTCTTGTAGCCAGGAAAGTAATAATTTTGACTGTGTAATATTTCAGTGGCATGGGAACACTTTTACTATTAGGGATGCTGAAAGCCTGCCCTCTTACCCCGTCTGTCTGCCTCCCCTCCAAAGCTGGGGTTGGGCACAAAATCAGGAATGGAGCCCTGGAACCCAGGGCAGGGGACAGCCAAAACCCTGGTGTGGAAGGGAGACCTGACATGGCAGCTATGATGGGGGCAGGGGTGGCAGCTAGAACAGTGGAGTCGGGCCTAGAAGTGAAGTCCTGGTTAAATCTATGGGTGCGACAGAACCTATGCTCTTAGTTCTTGCACCTATGTAATATTTTTTATTAACACCATGAAGCAATTTCCACTGTGTAAGAATGCTGTCTAGTGCAATGGAAAATTTTGTTGAATGAAATAACATATTAAGAATGCATTGTAATCTTGGATACTCGTTTGTTTCTACATTTCAAGAATTTCAAGTAATAGGATAGCAATAGTAGTTACTGAAATGCAATATTATCTCAGTTGTCATTCACCCACCCTATAGTCACTTAAGATTTACATTGTAAAGCTGTCCTTGCCTTTACCATTCATATTGTATTTGATTGGGTGATTTTTTTTTTCATTTTTCATTCTGCTAAATTAATAAAATTAGGTAATAAAAGGTTTAAAAATAACAATCATTAATTATTATTATTATTGTTTATTATGTGTGTTGCAGTAGAGCCTCCAGTCCCCAACTGTTGGATCATGGTCTGTTTAAATTAAGCATTGTATGTACACAACATAATGTAAAGGTCTTGATCTGAACCCCAAAAGGGAGATTGGGAGAAAAACAAAAAAATCAATATGCTCTGTAATTCAGCCTGTTGTATTATATAGCACTTACAACCTATTATAATACCTACAACATATTACATTAATAATAGGAAAACCTTGGACAGCTTTTAGATTCAGATGAGCACCAAGAAGACTAGATACTCATCTGAACTTTCAAATGCTCTCTTTTTCCATCCCTGATTTCTTTCTCTCTCTTTGTGGGCTCCTGATCTCCTCTTTCCTGACTTCTTCAATTTATTCTCCCTTTCCCCGAGGTCTCCAGCACCTTACACTTCTTTTCCCTTCTGCTGATTCTCATATTCCTGTGGCAAATTATTTGTCCAATTCACGTATGTCCACACACACACACCAGCCCAGATCTCTTGTATTCTGTGGCCTTCCCTTTTGCCCTGTATCTGATCCACTAAGTTGACAGGGAGTAAGTGAACAATTGAGAAGAGAGAGATTCAAAAGCATTAAGACCCAATAGAAGATCTGCCATAACTGCTGGCTCTATAATTTTAACATCTGAAAAAAAGGATTTGTGGGCAGCATGCATTTTGCTTTTCCAAACTAAACTAAACTTCAAAAAATGGTTTGATGTCAATTTTAACAACAGATCAGACAGGTACAGCCATTCCTTATTCTCACTCAACCAATTCACCCATCCCTCTGTCAAATTTTGTATTGCCCATTACCAATACACAATACAGAGGGTTAACCAACAAAAACATAACGTTTTTACATTTAGAATATCATTTTATATGTGTTATAATGAAAACATAACAATTTAGATTGTAGTTTATATTAAAATATACTGTGTGCTTTTTTACTAATACTTAAATATTAGCAATATAATCAGTCTGAGGAAGAAATATATTAGTTTAAGCATGTTTTCACTGCATTAATCTCTAGCTCTTCATTTACTTTTGCATGCAAATACTCTGCTTCTCTGGAGTGCACAAACTCACAGGGGAAAAAGATAGAAAATATGCATTTTTGCATATTAATGCCATTTTGAATCGCCATGAGAAACAACAAGTTGGTGAGGTAACTTTGGAACTGGTATCTTCAAGTCTGAGGAGACTAGACCTGTGGACTTACTGAGAGGATTATTTTTAAGAAATCTTATTGACTATATAACTGAGAGATTGATAAAGGCACCACAAGAAGCCAAAGATCTTACTTACCTGTCCACTTAGATTGGAAAAATGGTGACTAAAATATAGATATCACTCAGAGTGCAAAACCATATGCCATCTTTCATATCTCAGCTAGAAAATGAGAAAAGGAGGATCCATATATTGGTGATTAGAGTCCCCTTTATAAATACTGTTGGGTTTTTTTGAAGTACTTAATATCCTTCAGAAAGTCCAGTTAAAAATATCAAAGTTTTTCTCCCGGCGGAGAATAATTATGACTTCATATGTTTTGAGAACCGAATGTGGACAGTTAAAGTCAATTTAAGATTTCATCTGTGTTGAAGGACAAAGATTTCATGTATTGCTTGTTTAAACAGTTGTTTTACATGGAAAATGCACTGTAAACATGTTGTTTTAAGTGTTTTGTCTCATAACTTTTTTCATAAACAATTTTACATAAAAAAATTAAAATGTTAGCTCTTTTGACTAAAGCTTTTTCCAGAGCTTGAATCAGTCTTCTACAGTTGGCAAATAATATATAATAGAACTTTTTCCCCTGGTTATACAGTATCTTGCATGTTTGTCCTCGTTCTTTCTAATTATGTGTGTTTTCCTTTTTGCTAACCAGGAGCTGCAGGTAAGTTGCAGCCTGGTGCAGAGCTTGTTTAATCTGTTGTTGTCTGTGGTGTGTTAGTCTGTGCTTTGTAGTCAGATACATGTAATTTTGGTAGAGATATGATTGTAGATCATATATTTAGTGAGATCCCAATATAAGATATCCAAGAGATAAATTAGAGAATCGTACTTCATTTGATGCGAATTGCAGATCATTTGCCATAAAAATATTAAGATATAAGTAAAAACATCACTTAATGTATTTAAAATTTCAGTAAAATTGAAGGGCTGATTGAAACTCTGTTCACTGTGCATTCAGAATTCCTGCGTCTTTTGTGTTGTAATCATTTCATTATTACATTTTATATATATATATATATATGAATGAATGAGATGTCTACCCTAAACTTCGTTGTTGTTGTTGTTGTTGTTTTTTTCAGGGTGAAAGTATGGACAACTTCAACTGGGGAGTCCGTAGGCGCTCACTTGACAGTATCGATAAGGGAGACACACCATCCCTTCAAGAATGTCAGTATTCTGGTAGCACACCCAGCTTGAACTTGACCAATCAAGAGGATACTGATGAGTCCTCAGAAGAGGAAGCTGCACTAACTGCAAGTCAAATATTATCCCGATCACAGATGGTAAGTCATCCTTGTGAAAGGAATCAGTTTATAACCCAATTTTATTTAATCATTATTAAATGGTTCTGTCAACTGATCTTTTCAGAAAATATTTTTCTTACCATTTGTGACACAGTTAAGAAGCTGCAAATTTTAAAATGTATCTGCAGGAGGCAAATACTGCTCACACTTCCCACACATACTTGTAGAAAGCCTTGGATGTGGCTGAATTAGTGTAGTTCAGCATTTGGGAGGCATTTCAGAAGCTTGTTAAGCAAGTTCACAATCTCAACTTAGAAAAAGGGCTTCTTTATCAGCAATATATATATTACTGTTGAGTTTTCAATGAAGTGTTTTTTCTTTTAACTGTGTTCCTTAAATATTTTGTACATTTTTAAACATTATAAAGATTATGCTGATTTAAAAAAATGAGGGGTTTTTTAGTATTTGGCAAAAGAAAAATTGAATTCTTGTTTGCAAGCTGAAATAATTAAAGTGCAAAAATAACTAAAACAGCAGCTGGTTTTATGGGAATTCTATTAGTGTTCCACTTTAAAATTGCTAATTTGTTCCATTCTCATTCATTATGTACTATATAAAATAGACTAATGTAATACTACTTCCTGTTCATGTCTCATTTGTATATATTAGCACAGGAATAAATTAAATTTTCTCCAGTGCAGTTATTTGCTAGCCTAAATAGTCATATTAGAGAAATCTATGACATTCTAGATGTTTTCGTAATGTGAAAACACAAACACTGATTGTCTGTAGCATTTTTTTCTTGTAGGAAAAGAAGAATATTCCTGTTATGGTTTTCTTTTCTAGCAGTTAGGTGTAGATCATAAGGACATCTTCATTTTTTAATTTTTAAAATAGTTTCAGAAGTAACCCATTTCCAAAAGGTATAATTTAACTTTGGGAATTTTTAGTGGTACATAAAGCCTTCTCCCTCTTGTTCTCTAGTGCAAATTAAAGGTCCTGGTATAATTTTGGAAACATGTATCCTCATCATCACAAAAGCCACCATCCTAATGGCACTAAATTTTCATGCTTAGCAGATAAACAAAGGATTGAATTGAGATGGAATCAAAACAGCTTTTTATTTGTATTCTTCTATAACAATGTTAATCCAAATAAACATTTAAATATTATAAGATTTCTCATTATTACAAAAATTGTCGTCTTTAACCCATCCTGAAAAAAACCCCACAAGTATGTTTTTTAAAAATGCTTTAAAAAGAGCCAGAAACCAAACCACACTCTTCATAGGTAGTAAAGAATTATCTAAATTATTCTAATTGGTACCTCATTTAAATTACCTTTTTTAGCCTAATTATGTCAGTAGGAAGAGTGAGTCTCCTATCATTGTAGCTCAGGTGAAAGAAAAGTAATTCTTTTTAACCTTTAGAAAATTTCTTATTTCATCAGAATCAACATAAAAATTTAGATAATGAAAAGAATTTGGAGATAATGTCAATATTTTGGGGTAGTTCTGCACATACCAGGGAAAATGACAAATTTTATTTTAAAACAGTATATTATCCTATATTCTTCATATATTATGTCTACACTGCAGTTAAACACCTGAAGCTGGCTTTTGTCAGCTAGCTCAGACCGCAGAGCTATAAAATTGCCGTATAGACATTCAGGTTTTGGCTGGAGCCTCAGATCTGGGACCTGGGACATCTCAGAACCTAAGCATCACCCTGAGCCCAAATGTCTACACTACAATATTATATTCCAACAATCCAAGCCACACAAGCTTGAGTCAGTTGATTGAGCCCTACCCTGGGCATTTAATTGTAGTGTAGGTGTACTCATAGTAATCATAATATGTATAGGACCTGTCATTTTTCCAGAGTGCCTGTCACCTTTCTGTTTGACATAGTTTAAGTGATATATCTGAAGGATATATAGGAAGTATATGTAATATATCTAGGTGGTATAATAAAAAACAAATTTGGACTACAATTTCAAAACAAATTACACTTACCAAATACCTCGACCCTTTAATAAAGATTCTAGAATATGTAATGCCTTTATATCGGGGCAGGCAATAAATTTTAATGGGAGGCCACTCCGAGATTTTGGTAAATGGCCAAGGACCGTATTTCTCTGGAGGGGGGGGTGGGGTCCAGGACAGCAGGTGGGGTTTAGGAGGGAGCTTGTGATAGAGGACTTAGGTGCAGGAGGGGAAGGGTGGGGTCTAAAAGGGAGTTTTGGGAAAAGGATGTGATCATAATCTGGGGCAAGGACTTCGGGTGAAGCGTCCAGGCGGAGTTATGAGTGCAGGAGAGGCTTCTGGCCTAGGGAAAAGGGGTGTAGGTTCTGGGAGGGAGTTGTGACGGGGTGCAGAGGGTTTGGGTGGTGATGTGAAGCAGGGGAATGGGGTACAGGGTCAGGGAAGGGTACGTGTTCAAGAAAGGATTTTGGCCTGGGGAGGGGTGCAAGAGGGGGTGCAGGGTCTGGGAGGGAATTGTGACCTGAAGAAGGTGGGGAGAGGGGATACAGAGGATTTGAGTGGAGGTCTGGGGAAGGTAGTTGGCGGGGAGAGAGTGCCAGAGGCAGGCTCTGTCTAGGAGGCCCTTTCCTAAGCAACTCCCAGCCAGCAGACTTCCTGCCTGTGGGCTCCTCCACATGGCTCTGCTCCAGCACAGGGAGGGAGGGAGGAGGCGTCATTTGCTGCTCTTGCCTTCAGCAAAATTTTTCAGCTCCTATTGGCCAGTGGAAACTTGGGATTTTGAGGGGAAGCAGGGACAGTGCTCAAAGCTTTCTACTCCCTGCCCAGCTTGCAGAGCAATTAGCAGCCTGCTGTTTAAAGCAGCTGCCCCTGCTCTGTAGTAAGGGTGCTGGTGAGGCAGCCACAGGCCAGATGAGGCTCGCTAGCTGCCTCTTGCCCAGCCCTGCCTTATACTATTGGTATCAACAATTAAACCAAATCCAACTTTAAATTAATAAAATGTAGATGGTTTTGATTACTGCAAAAATTGTTATTGGTGTAACTATTAGAATTGCATTAGGAGTCTGTGTTTAGCAGTGGACTCCCTCAAAAGCAGTAATGAGGGGCTGGGAAGAGAGAGAATCTACTCTATATATTACTTTGGTGTACAGTGACATTAACTGGGAAAAACCTACCATCCTCCTCAATTTTCTTCCTCCTTTTAGGAGATCTATTTTTAAAAAGGAAATAAACACCCTTTTACCATACAAAAAATGGAAATTAGAAATTATAGACTTAAAAAAGAAAGACATCTTTGGAGGTAGTCATGGTTGTGGCACATCTGTGCAAAAGCTTGCACTATCATGACAAAGAATTTCAATTTAGCATCTTTCAGAAGCACAAAAGAGTCTCTATTAACAAAATAAGAGAATGTTTTCTGTTTAACAGAAATTACTTTAAACTTCCTTTAAAGGAAAGTTTAAATGTTGTAAACGTGCGTATAATGGTAGAGTGAATATATTTTTGTGGTGTGAATACTTACCGTCTTTTAGCGAATATAACCTGCGGGTTATATTCGTTTTTACAAACCCTGCACCTCCCACCCCACCCCCGCAGGCTGTACTCGTGCACGGGGTATTTAGGGTTTTTTTTACTGGATGGAAGAGGATCCCCCCTCCCATCCCACCCTTTCACTACCTTTGCCGGGTTGGGATTAGGCTCCCAGCCCAGACTGAACAACGTGAGGACATTTACAAGGGGCACAGCAGCTGGGAACGCTCCGGAGCTGGGGCAGAGGCATCCCCAGCAGAGGCGCAAGGCGGGAGGCTCTCAGCCTGGGCTGACAAAGGGAAGGAGCCCAGAGCAAGTTGTGGCATGGGGCTCTGTGGCCAGCAGCAGCGGTGAGAGTCTGCAGGCAACCATGGCTCACAGAAGCGGGGCTGTGGCATGGTGCTTGTTGCTCGTTGCTCCTGCGTGATCCAGCTGGGCATCCTTCCCTGCTTGCAGCCACCGCTCGCTGGACCCGCTGCATGGTTGCTTGTTGCTCCCGGGTCGGTGCCTGCCCCGCTGCCCCAAACCATGCCCCACTTGTTGCTCCTGGGCTGGGGCATGGTTCGGGGCGGCAGGATAGGCGCCGGCCCGGGAGCAACAAGCGAGCATGCAGAGGGTCCTGTGAGTGATGGCGGCGGCTGCAAGCAGGGAAGGGTGCCCGGCTGGATCGCGCAGGAGCAACAAGCACCATGCCACGGCCCCGTTCCTGTGAGCCGTGGCCGTCTGCAGACTCCAGCCACTGCTGCTGGCCGCAGAGCCCCGTGCCTGCAACTTCCTCCGGGCTCCTTCCCTTTGTCAGGCCAGGCTGAGAGCCTCCTGCCTTGCGCCTCTGCTGGGGATGCCTCTGCCCTGGCTCCAGAGCGTTCCCGGCTGCTGCACCCCTTGTAAGTTTCCCCATGTTGTTCGATCATGGGCTGGGAGCCTAACCCCCTGCACCGTAAAAATACCACCGTACCCTAAATATACCCCCGGCACAGTCTTGTATAACTCGCGGGTTATACTCGTGTGTGGGGTATTCAAGATTATTTTTACTGAAACAGCAAAAATCATGGGGTATATTCAGGTGCGGGTTATATTTGGGTGGGGGTATATTCGCTAAAATACGGTACTTGGTGGAGCAACATATTTCCAAACACGTGTCAGTTAATTTCTCATTGTCTTTAAATTGCATGGTCTCAGTGAACCACTGAAATATTTCACGTTTGTTTGTTTTTTCTCTTAGTTAAATAGTGATTCTGCCATAGATGAAGCAATATCAGATCATGCAAGTTCATTATTGCAGTCTCAAGACTCCACTAGCAGTATGGGAACAGAAGAAGTGCTTCAAATCAGAGCTGAGACCCCAAGTTTGGAGGCTTCGCCTCTAGATAACTCTAGCTACCAGCTGCCTGAGGTGGGGAGAAATGTGGGCTGGTGCATGACTGATTTGGGCTCTTTCTAGCATTGCATAGGAGCTTTTGCTTTCATTTCAACAGAATTTTCATCTGTTAAACAGATTATTTGATTTATCTTCAGTATTTTTAACCTGTTGGGGTATCTTGTTGAATGTCTCCTGGGAATGAAAATCTCTTATGATAGACTCAGGAAATTTACCACAGGTTAAAAATACTCTTGAAGTGCTATTAATGAGCATTTTGTGGTGACCAGTAACAGTAGGCTTGTGTGTGAGATGCTTTTTCCTGGGTATGGTGAAAATCTTTCTATAGCAACATTTTCTTTTTAAAACCTTTTGCTTTTTTTGCTTTCTTTGGATTTATGTGATTTGGTGCTATGGGTTGGGATTAAAACCTCAGGCCAGCTGTGTTAGCAGTTGGTTCAATCAAATAAGTCTTTTAAAAAAAATCTCAGAATGCTAGTGGTGTATTGGAAAGCCCTGTGTGGAGTAAGCCAGATTTCAGCTAATGACCACCCAGAAATCTGTGAGTATTTAGTTTTTGTTAATTTAAGATGTTTTTTAAATCCTTTGAATAGTTTTTAAATAACAAAATTAATTTTAAAACAAAATTAGTTCACTTGCTACTGTTTCTATCATACTTGCATTCTTATGCAAAAAATAAGAATTGCCATCCTACATCAGACCAATGGTCCATATAGTCAAGTACCCTGTCTTTTGACAGTGACCAATGCCAAATACCGCACAAGAAATGAACAGAACAGGTAATCATCAAGTAGCCAAGGAGATGGTACCGGCAGCTCTGCCACTGTGCTGGTACAAATGGTATCTGTTACTAATCAAACACCAGTGTCTCCACCCCAGCACCGGCCTCTTCAGCACGGGACTCAGTGCTGAAAATACTTTAGCATCGATGCCTCCCCCACCTGTGCCACAGCACCAACAGGCACCAAGCTGCAAGCACAGCATCGCTTGAACCATGGTATCGAGAAGACATGAATGAAGTACCACCCCACAACAGATCAAGATGCACTGCCATACCGGCACTGAAATACTACCCCATCTTTGGCACCACCCTAGCTGCTTTTTGGTAGTGACAGATCTCTTGTGGCTTAGGAGATAAGGTGTTCACCTGGGGAGGGCACGGTGGTGAGTTCAAGTCCCACCCCCCATTCCTAGTCAGGGACACCATCCCTGCCCATCATATCTTCAATTAACTTACCTAGTTCTTTTTTTGAACCCTTTTTTCTGGGCCTTCACAACTTCCTTTGGCGAGGAATTCCACAAGGTGACTGTGCTGTATGAAGAAATACTTCCTTTTGTTTGTTTTAAACTTGCTGCCTATTAATTTCATTTGGTGACCCCCTAGTTCTTGTATTGTGGGAAAGAAATAAAACATCCTTATTTGCTTTCTCCACTCAGAATCTCCCTAAGGACAAGCCTTGGCTTTCCAAGGCCTCCAGAAAGTGATCCAGTAATCCCCCTATCCAAGACTCAAAAGAAGAGAGTCTTCCTAGCAAAGTCTCTCCCAGTGGTGCCAACATCCTACCATAGCAAAGGAGATGCTACCAGCACCTCCGCCACTGTGCTGGCACAAACCATATCTGTTACTAATGAAACACCAGTGTCTCTACCCCAAGCACCAGCCTCTTCAGCGCGGGACTCAGTGCTGAAAATACTTTGGCACTGATGCCTCTCTGTCATGTAGTTTGACTTATTTTAGATCCAGGGGAAACCAGTACACTTCAGGGCTACTTAACCACTTCCTTATTTATTGCAAGCTTTAAGCAGTTAATACAGTTACAAGCCTTAAGAACAATTATTATACAATTATAACCTTAAATACTATAAATTCTAAAGCAAATAATACAGCGCAAAGCAATGCAAAAGCAGTTACTAAAATATCTACTATATACAATAATAATCCTAATTCTCTTACACTTCACCCATATGCTACCTGCAGTGCCAGGCAGGAGGTTGTGGTTCCATCTTTTCCCACCCATAGGAGCGCCACCACTGACATAGCCAATCTGAAGGGCCTAATCACTTCTAGTTACCTGGAGCAGGACATGTGGGTTAATCCTGTCCATTCCTTCCCACCGATTGTTTTTACTAAACCCAATTTATAACAAAGCGAGACTTGGTTGTTCTAATTTTTACCAATTGATTACATATTGTGTAGGATATGTCACAATTTATAACAAAGCGAGACTTGGTTGTTCTAATTTTTACCAATTGATTACATATTGTGTAGGATATGTCAAAAGCCCAATGCCCTATTTGGGGTACATCCTGCTGCTCAGGATGTTACTGCTATGTGTGCAGTTAACAGTTTCATGGCTGCATCTGTACTTTTTACTTATCAGAAACAGAAGGACCAGTAAAAGGCTGCTTGTCCTGTGTTCTTGATGTGGTCTCTCGTACCAAGCTTAATCTGCATTGTTATGCAAAATTTGCTGACTCTCTCAGTTTTCTTTATTAACCCAGCCTTGCCTGCATGCTTTGTTATACCAGACTTGAGCAGGCCAGAAATCCACACTTTGGACAAGGCAGACATCACCAGGTATTGCTAAGGCAGGGTAATGCAGGCTCCCCCACGCTCCCCCATCTGTGCCGTAGCTCCAACAGGCACCAAGTTCCAAGCACAGCATCTCTTGAATCATGGTACTGAGAGAATATGAATGAAGTACCACCCCACAACAGATCAAGACGGCACTGCCACACCTGCACAGAAATACTACCCCATCTTTGACACCATCCTGGCTGCTTTTTGGCAGCAACAGATCTCTCATGATGTCACTGACTGAGCCTCCCTGGACTTCAGAAAAGCAGACTTTGACTCCCTCAGAGAACTGATGGGCAGGATTCCCTGGGATGCTTACATGAAGAAAGGAGTCCAGAAGAGCTGGCAGTATTTTAAAGAAGCCTTAATGAAGGCACAGGAAGAAACCATCCCAATGCGCAGCAAGAGAAGCAAATATGGTAAGCGACCAGATTGGCTTACTGGGAACATCCTTGGTGAGCTTAAACACAAAAAGGAAGCTTGCAAGAAGTGGAAAATTGGACAAATCACTAGTGAGGAGTATAAATATTTCTCGAGAATGCAGGGGAGTTATCAGGAAGGCAAAAGCGCAATTGGAATTGCAGCTAGCAAGGCATGTGAAGGATAACAATAGAGGTTTCTACAGGCATGTTAGCAATAAGAGGGTGATCAAAGAGGGTGGGAGGCCCTTATTGGATGAGGTAGGTAACCTAGTGACAGATGATGTGGGAAAAGCTGAAGTACTCAATGCGTTCTTTGCCTCTGTCTTCACGGACAAGGTCAGCTCCCAGACAAATGCACTAGACAACACAGTAGGGGAAGGAGGTGGACAGCCCTTGGTGGGGAAAGAACAAGTTAGGAACTATTTAGAAAAGCTAGACCTAACCAAATCCATGGGTCTGGATTTAATGCATCCGAGGGTACTGAGGGAGTTGGCAAATGTCATTGCAGAGCCTTTGGCCATTATCTTTGAAAACTTGTGGAGATCAGGAGAGATCCTGGATGATTGGAAAAAGGCAATTGTAGTGCCCATCTTTAAAAAAGGGAAGAAGGACAATCCAGGGAACTACAGACCAGTCAGCCTTACCTCAGTCCCCGTAAAAATCATGGAGGGGATCCTCAAAGAATCCATTTTGAAGCACTTGGAAGAGGGCAAAGAGGGATTAGTCAACATGGATTCACGAAGGGCAAGTCTGCTCATGGTGGTTAAGACCAAAGCAAAGTGTGAAGAGCTTCAAAAAGATCTCAGCAAACTAAGTGACTGGGCAACAAAATGGCAAATGAAATGTAATGTGGATAAATGTAAAATAATGCACACTGGAAAAAATAACCCCAACTTTACATGCAATATGATGGGGGCTAATTTAGCTATAGCTAATTAGGCAAGAGATCTTGGTGTGATCGTGGATAGTTTTCTGAAGACGTCCACGCTGTGTGCAGTGGCAGTGAAAAAGCAAACAGGATGTTAGGAATCATTAAAAAAGGGATAGAGAATATGTCAAAGAATATCTTATTGCCCTCATATGAATCCATGGTACGCCCACATCTTGAATACTGCATACAGATGTGGTCTCCTCATCTCAAAAAAGATATACTGGCATTAGAAAAGGTTCAGAGAAGGGCAACTAAAATGATTAGGGATTTGGTATGGGTCCCATATGAGGAGAGATTAAACAGACTGGGACTTTTCAGCTTGGAAAAGAGACTAAGGGGGGAAATGATAGAGATATATAAAATCATGAGTGGTGTGGAGAAAGTGAGTAAGGAAAAGTTATGTACTTGTTCCCATAATATAAGAACTAGGGGCCACCCGATAAAACTAATGGGCAGCAGGTCCAAAACAAATAAAAGGAAATTCTTCTTCACACAGCGCATAGTCAATCTGTGGAACTCCATGCCTGAGGAGGTTGTGAAGGCTAGGACTATAACAGGGTTTAAAAGAGAACTACATAAATTCATGGAGGTTAAGTCCATAAATGGCTATTAGCGAGTATGGGTAAGGAATGGGGTCCCTAACCTCTGTTTGTCAGAGGGTGGAGATGGATGGCAGGAGAGAGATCACTTGATCATTACCTGTTCAATTCACTCCTTCTGGGATACCTGGCATTGGCCATTGTTTGCAGATAGGATGCTGGGCTGGATGGACCTTTGGTCTGACCCTATATGGCCTTTCTTATGTTCTTATATTAAGTCGTGCCTGACCAATCTGATTAGGTTTTATGATGAGGTAACTGGCTCTGTGGATATGGGAAAGTCAGTGGATGTGATATACCTTAACTTCAGTAAAGCTTTTGATACGGTCTCCCACAATATTCTTGCCAGCCCTGTTAGCTAATTATGATTGCACCAGTTATTCCAGATTGGAGGAACTCCTGGAGCATCTGTCAGAGTAGAAACACCCTGTCCTCCAGTCAGTTGTACAAGAGGGCCACACTATTGTACATACCACCCTGCAACACTCAGTGTTGTGGACTTGGTCACTCAGGCCACTTCTACAGCCATAGTCATGTGGCAAGCATCCTAGCTTCAATCTTTGGATATCTCTAAGAAGCTACAGATCAAGGATGAGGACTTGCTGTTTGATAAGAATATGCTTTTTTCAGCTGAGACAGATGGACATGCAAACCACCTTATGCACTCTGGGAATGTACATGCTACCAACAAAAAGGAGACACTACACACCTTTTCAGAGGCCCAGAGACACTGGCTTCAATCAACTCCAATTCAGACATTTTGATACTAACAGATCTAAGCCCAGACCGCGGTAACAGACACCTCCATAAGGCCAACTTCCAACCATTCGCACACCCAAGCAGCATTTATGAACCTTTGGTTGAGGGTCTGCATGACCTCTCCCAACAAAAAGTGCTAGCAGCTAGCTCAATCAGCAGCTATTTGCCTACACCGATTGTGCCCGTATTACAATCAGTGGGCAGCAGTAACAGGTTGACGTGCCTTGCAAATTATTCAAGCAGGATATCCCATCCCATTCCTGTTCATCCCACCCCCCCAAGCTACTATCTTCCCTGTCCCTCTTCAAGAACCCCTCCCATGAGCCTCTTCTGCAACAGAAAGTTGAATATCTTTTATGCATAGAAGTGATCAAGCCTGTTCCCACTTCATTTTAGGGCAAGGGCTTTTATTCCAATTACTTCCTCACTGAGGAAAAAAAAGCAGGAGTTGGAGACTAATCTTAGACCTATGCAAACTAAAGAAGTTTGACCTTAGCAACTATTATTCCAGCACTAGACCAGGGAGACTGGTTCACAGCCCTTGACCTACAAAATGCTTACTTCCACATAATTATATACCTTGCCATAGGATGCTTCCTATGCTTCACTGTGGCTCACAACCATTACTAATACAGAGCGAAGAGTGCTGTCCTTTGGACTTTCCACAGCCCCCAGGATTTTCTCCAAAACCCTCGCGGACACTATAGTACACCTACATTGGCAAGCGGCTATAATATTTTTGTACCTGGATGATTGTTTCATAAAAAGATCCATACAAACAAAAATGACCTCGATCCACAAGACCAGAACTCCTTTTTGAAGCCTTGGCCTTCTGATCAATGAGACCAAGTCCGTCCTTGGATCCACTCAGAGGCTGGAATTTATTGGAGTCCTTCTAAACTCTACTAAGGACCGTGCTTTCTTACCAAGACATTGCTTTACCACTCTAAAAAACCTCATTAATGTAGTGACCATCAGCCCTCAGGCATCTGTCTTTACCTTTCTATTAATCATTGGGCTCATGGCAGCAGCCACTTACATAGACATACCAGACTGTATATGGCTAAATACTCTTAGCCATATTCTTAGAGTCTATATACCCCCACTATGCGTTCCCTTGAAATAAATCAGTTTCTCCCCATGTACTATCCTCCCTTCAGTGGAAGACCATTTCCACAAACCTTCTCTTGGGTGTTCCTTTCCAGATCCCTGCCTTCATGGGTTGGGGTGTCCACCTCAACCATCACACAGCTTAAGTCAAGTGGTCACTACCAGAGTCCCAATTATACATAAGTCCCCAAACTCAGACCTATCAGAAGGGCTTGTAAACACTTTTAACCCCTCATTCAAGATAAATCTATTAAAATACTCAGAAAACATATGCATGTTCTACGTCAACAGGCAGGGTCGAGCCTGTTCACACACTCTATGCACAGATGCTATCCACCTTTGGAACTGGTATATCCACCATAATATTATCCTTATAGCTTCATACCTCCTTGGCTTATGCAATACCACTGCAGATACTCTCAGCCATCACCTTTCCTAAGACCATGAGTGTGAACTCCTTCTAGACATCGCAACCTGCATATTCTGCACGCTGGAGTATCCAGTGATAGACCTATTCATCTCCCACAGAAACCACAAATTTTGCCTCTTTTGCTCTCAGGCGGCATTAGCCCCAAGCTCCCTTGGAGATGCCTTTCTAATCTCATGGACGAAACCACTACTTTACACTTTTCCACCTCTACCTCTGATTCCCAAAGTTATCCTGAAACTTAACATGGACTGGCTTGCCTCTTTTGGGTAGCCCCCGTGTAGCCCAGACAAATGTAATAATTCTTTCTCTCTCACCTTGCTGTAATGCCCCTCTCTCTTTCATTTCATTCTGATCTCCTGTCCCAGAAACAGATGCACGATCCTTCCCCCTGACAAGTTTCACCTTCAGGCATCGATCCTCAATGATTCCAGGATGCCAAGGCCTCATGATCTGACTCCATAAAGCACGTCCTTCTAAATAGCAGATGTCCCAATATTGGCACTTATTACCTCCAGAAATATAAACGCTTCTCTGTCTGGTGTACCCAGAGACAATCTGACCACTTCAAAGTGCTTCTCCCACTCATTCTAGATTACCTTCTAGATTACCTGTTAGAACTAAAGAGTTGTAACTTGTCCATTAGTACAAGAGTTCACTTTGCCTCCATCTCGATGTTTCACATACAAATTGATGGGTTTTCCCTCTTCATGCATCCCATTCTCAAGAGTCTTCAAAACATTCCTATGAGATTACCCAACCCAACTTGGATCCTAAGTTTTGTTCTCAAGACCCTTACTAGCCCACCATTCAAATCTTTAGTTACATGCTCACTCCTACATCTGTCAGTGAAGGTTGCATTTCTAGTGGCCATCACATCCATGAGAAGGGTCATGGCTGATCTGCTGTATACTACATTTGCTAAAGATAAAGTAACCATGCAACCACATCCTTCCTTTCTCCAAAAGTGACTCTGGCATTTCACATTAATGAACCCATTATTTTACCAGTATTCTACCCCAGAATTGATGATAATGTAGTGTTTTACAGTGGAAAAAAGTACAGGACTTTCTAACAGTGTAGATCAGAGTGACTTACTTATGATAATCATTGACATAGTATACATTGTTAATTGGTTAGGGTTAAAAAATATTGCTCTAACAATAACTCCAGTTCATTAAAACATATTTTTCTTTTGCAAAATTTGTTTCCAAGGGAGGTTACTTCCATTCTGCCAGGTATTTATGATGGGAGAACTATTTGAGGTGGGAGAATGGAAAGGTAAAAGTTTGTTCATGGTAGTGTACTGGAAGTAGGAATTGGATGCGATAGGCAATTATGAGTCATTAATTTTTTATTTTTCTCTTAAAAGATGCAATTTGGAGGTTTTGATCATATTAGTTTTGTCTAGAAAAAAATTTAAAGTATTTGCACATATTTTCATGAGAGGTCTTTCTTGTAACATCACTAGTTGATATTAGTGAGAAAATTACATTTGCTATACGTGACAAATTGCATTTCAGAAACAAAAAATGGGGAGTATTCTAACCAGAAGTTGAAAAATATTAAAATGGAAGATTCTTTATGACTGAAGCATAATTCAAGGTGGTATTATTCAAGCAGTATATTAAGAATCCAAATATCTGAATACTTAAAATAAAACTGGGTGATGTAAACACGCTTTTGTTTAAGTATTGACTTCTATATCTTGTAAGAGAAGTTGATGTACATCAGCTCCTTCTGTAAAAACAATGAAAAATATACTTGCTTTGCAGGATGGTGGTTCAGCTGCCAAGGATGAACAGGTTAGCATTGCTAGTGAAGACAATGGATCATATATATTACACGAACAACAGGACTCTCTGATCTGTCAGGAACCTCTAGAGTTGGAAGAAACTCCTGAAATGCCAGAAATGTCAGAATTGCCAGCTCCTGAGAGCTATTCTGAATCTATATGTGAAGAGGATGTCACCCTTGCTTTGAAAGAGCTAGATGAGAGATGTGAAGAAGAAGAAGCTGACTTCTCTGGGTTGTCTAGGTAAGAGTACACTTGATTTTAACTGCAGAAATAATGTATCACTTGTGGAAGCTACTACAGGCAGTCCCCGACATACGCGGATCCGACTTATGTCGGATCTGCACTTACGAACGGGGCTTTCTCGCCCCGGAGGTCGAGGTGGTGGATTGCTGCCTGCGAGCTCCGGGGCGAGAGAGCCCCGTTCGTAAGCTGCTCCCGGTGCCCCTGGTCTGCTGGAGACCGTCTCCAGCAGACCACAGGCACTGGGACTGAAGCCGCAGTAGCCGCCCGG